GTCGAGGCTGGGTATGATCAGACCCTTGCCACCCCACCTCCCCGCTGCCCCGGTGCGTACGGAATATGTCCGTTGCATTGCATGCGTAAAGTGGTGGGTGTTGGCAGTCGGCGAGTGGATCCCGAGGCATCACATAAACTTGAGTCAGCTGGGTTGGAAGGTCATATCTCAACGGTTGCGACAAGGAATCCTTCCGAGGGAGGCTCGACCAAAGATTAACCGAGATGGTAAAACATAATGAAAGGAAGAGGAAGTATGATGCCCGAATAGGCAGGACGATAATCAAAGTAATCAAAGAGTGAACTTTATTCATTCTGCTCCAGAGTCTATAGAGTATGTGCTCCGTTCATGTACATTGTAGGATATACAATCTAGGTGAGCACCGGGGCAAGAACCCAGTGTATCCAAGTTAGTGAAACCGACTATCAAGGACTATCAAAGGCTATGGTATCAGACTATGTAGACTATGCCCGGGTGTATGGCTTGATTTGGATATAGTTTCATTGGTTTTGCGCAGGAATATGTCTCGGGTGTTTCATAGCTCCAGTGGAGCGAACGGAGCGCAGATCGCAGATATCCAGATACGACCGTAGTAAGGAGACATAGACGAACAAGGTTAAAGTGGTTTAGATCTACCAAAGCGCTGAGAATGGGTGTGAAAGGGGGTATAAACAAGGAGACCCAAGATCTACGACGATGACGATAGATCCAATATCACCTCCCTAAAATAGCAATCAAGCGCATGGGACTCCATTGGTAGAGGCAAAAATATGGACCCAACGATATGGTCAGTTCTCAGGCCTAGAGCTAGAACAACAGTTGTAGCCAGGGGGCCCCACGGCCGATCCTACACGGGGTTTATACCAAGCTGGGAAATAGTACGACCTGTAAACATCCCGGTTGTCTTATTTTTCTTGTGATCGCCCTTGACGAACAGGTCGTTGTTTCACGGAGTTGACGATATGCCGAGTGCCTACCGTCTCTCGCCTAAGACCACTTGGCGCCGGTACTCCGTGCACCTAGATGGGACTAGTACGCCTCGGTAGGATTATACCGTAGCCCTGATATATTATTAAGTGTTTCTCTCGGACCCGAGTCCGTGGAAGCGACAGCCACCGTCTACCAGATCTGCCTCTTTCGAGACGGTCAAAATTGCACTCCGTATATTATGATCTTGTAGATGATCGCCGTCGATCATCCCTTGTTTGATATTCGGTTATACATAGGTGATTCAGGGTCTTTTATTTTTATTTTGTGGTTTTTTTTTTTGCTTTTGGCGTTGACATTCTATTATTACTTTCCCCCTGATTTTCAGTTCTCGGGTTCGGGTACGGCTGAGCTATACGGCAGACACGCCTATACAACCTACGGTGTACCTTTCTTGGGGGCCGAAAGGATAAAACACTCTTGCGATATCGAATCCTGAAGGAACAATCCATACTCCCTCTCATCAAATTGAGTCCATAGCAGTACGAGGTGATATTAGTGTGGAAATCAATGGGGGCCAAGCCATCAAGATCATGGAATGACCAAGACATCAGATAAAGTATCTAATCTAAATCTATATCCCAACCAATATATTCCGATATGCATTGCATGGTATAAGCACCAGGGGGCCTAATACGAGTCCGCGCATAATAATATCGACATTACGTGGAGGACCGCATCGGAGGCATGCCCTAAATGGTCGTCGCTTAGAGATGGCGGGCGATCATGGGCTGAGTCAGCGGGAGCTATGGCCATCAGTTATCCCCTGAAGTTGGATCTTCATTGATCCACAGATCATTTTTGAATAGGAAGGAGGATAGTTGTATTGTAGATGAAGATCAGATAGAGCAAGGACTCCGTGGTCGATTTACAATAATTTGCAGAATGGTAACTATGATGAATGAAATTGTTCTGGGTGTATACTCCGTAGAAATCAAAAAGTCATTCGGCTCGTTTCGTATTGAGAAACCAATAATCAATAATCCAATGCATAAATCGCATAGGATATGTACACTACTGCAGTCTTCGTCGCGGGAAGATCCTCGGATATAGTGATCGGAGGCAGACAGGTGCATCGGATTGTATGCCAGATTAGGGCTCACTGCCACGTGAAATGGAGAAAACAAAAGCATAATATATGCGCTGCATTGGCGCGTCCAATCAACGTACCTTCCCAAGTCGTACAAGCGTAAGATCGGATCTACCAATCCCCGATCGGCGTGTAACTAGCTTGGCGGTTTAGAATTTACAGTAATTTCGGGGATCTACGGGGATCATGGTAATTTAGAGGTGATTTCTCGGCCTTTACAAACCAAGGAATATGCGAAGCAAACCACTTTTTGACTTTTGGAACTCCCTCAAGGATTGACGCTCGGAAGGGGGATTTTTTTTTTTTTAATTTTAATTATGGTTTTTGAGCCATTCCCTTGAAACACAACATGATGTGATATGTGATACAGCAGAACACAATGCAGCCGGTCGCATGCAAGTGCCATGTGTCAACCTCTTCACAAGGCAACCACTACGGCGTGGACATCGTATTGAGCGTATACATTGGAGAAGGCATATATAATGTATCATGTTGAAGATCCAAAGTTCCTCGCGTGGTCATATTGAGCCCCACTGATTTGCGACCATTGACTCGACCTAGACAAGCCTGTGTGTCCGGGAAGAAAGGGGTGAGACAGTCGCGTGGCATGGGCCCAGTGCCCCGGGACCAAAAGACGATCACCGATCACGGCTGAATCCGCTACCTACCCGGATCTATGACCCAAATAGGATAGTTCGATCATGTTCCTCGGTTCAGATTGAACTATTGATTCTTGACCAAAAAATAGAATGTGTACGGAGTCAGGATTACGGAGTACGTGGCTTGGGGATATACAATAGAGAAATATAGAGTGGAATAGAAGGGGCAAAAATAACCCTTGGTTTAGCATTTGAATTTCAATGTAAACGTAAAGCGTAAAATTCCTCCCATGGGACTCGGCCGGATCACCCTTTTCCCGGTTTCATACCCAAAAGAAAAAAGGAACAAGAAAAAAAGAAAAGAAAATGACAAGAAAAAATAGGCTTCCGACCGTGAAGTTTCTTAGAATGGAGATCTTTCAAAGTGTATTCCTTATATGACACTGCAAAACTATGACTTACATAATTTTGGCGAGCAGCTGAATATGAAAGGTCAAACATCCATTTACCCTGAGCCGAACCAAGGGAAACCCAATCAATGTTCGCGGAATACAAAGACCGGGACCAGGCTCAGTTGAGCATAGGCGATCCGTCCAAGTGCCGACAAGGGGGTTGATCATCCGTAGGCCCGGGACGATCCTGACGCTCGAGCCATTCTAGAATGATTATAATCAATCGATAGTTACGTCGTGTAAGGAAACTACCGGGTAAGACACGGAGTTTAGAACCAAAGGAACACAAATTTAATATACGGTTTAATCAATATTCTATTGCAATTTACTTTCCTTTCTACAGTCCGTTCGATAATATACCGTCACCGGTGATCTCTCGTAAAAGGGCTAAATAGTGGAGCTCGCTTCCACGAGGCCGGGACAAATCCACCTCTAACGGCCAATCCCCGATCGCGCCTGTGCAGAAGTCGTGCACGGTCGGAAGTTCATTTACAGGTAATGGTGAGAGGAGTAATGTTCCAGAATGCCGATCGTTCTAATAACTCGCTTCTCTTTTGGTAGAGACAGTTTGATTCCATGGATTGAAGGATGATCTTCAGGAGCATGGTCTGAGAACGACTCTAGGCCTTTGCCACCTTCTTAACTCAGCAGTATGGGGTCTTAACTGCCGATGAACTTTCCTCTCCAATCTAACACTAGATCCACGATTAGACTGCGACAAGAGTATATCACAAATTAATTGGATATTGTATACGTATCATGCAACAGAGTGGGAGACAAACCAGTTTTCCCCCATGCATGATGTACATACATCAAGGTATGTACACTGTACGGAGTACCTGGAAGGTCCGTTTAAGCGAGCCCAGGGCCATGGATTGACTCTGTTTCAGACACTCCTTCTGGTCTCGCCCCCAGCGCTTAGAGCCGCCCTGGGTGATGACAACCCGAGATTATAGCGGTGATGGAAATAGATTAAATTAAATTCACAGTGCATGGCCAATCCATGGATAGTATGGACGGAGCACCCTGTTCAGCGTATAAGCAGCGCAGGCGTAAATGTGAATCCAAGGTTCCGGAGGTGTGACCCGAAACGGACTAGTCACATCCCTTTGTGACCTTCCCTTTTCGCTTGCGCCGTTTTTCTCCATAGCCACGCGACAAATGATCTCCTGAACCGTGTTATCCCCGGGTTTCGACTTTATATTCCTATCTTCATCTTTTTAGTGCAAAAGAAGTGATCAAGAGAATCAATGAATCAACCTCTACTCTGAATATAACCCGCTCATTGCTCTCGTAGATCAACAGATCCCTGATCGATCAGCCGTTTATGGGGTGGCTTGTGATATGTGACAGGTCCAGCAGGATCTGCACTAACCGTAGCCGAGGTGCAATCGTCCAACGGGGTTTTTACGGCCTCCCAATTTGGGTTTAGGGGCTGCACATCCCACAAGGCTGGTGGTTAGGGCTTTTGCCTCTCTCGCGTGGTTGAATCGTCATTCCCCACGTTAATCTCCGAAAAGGTTTATTATCTATTTTTTTATCTCGCTTAGATTAATTTTAAATTGAATTTATTAAACCTAAAGTGGAAAAAATCAATTAAATTAAGCTTTGGAGCAGACTGCGTCTCATTAAAAATAATAAAAATACTCCGGAAAGAGAAATTGAATTAAAATAATTACAAAATAAAAAATGAAAATAATCAAAAAATGGTAACGTAAATCGTAATTTTGCTTGAATCGGCATCGTCCGCTGGCGATCATCCAAAGCCGCCCGCCTGCTTTCTAGGTATAAACCTCGTGGCATCCCCCACTCACTGAACAAGCTGAACTTGAAACGCACTTGGATCAAACCTCTCCATCACCTCTCTTCATCATGGATCTCTCCAACCTTCTGTCTCACGCGGCTGTCAAGCCGATGTATACTCCTCTCGAGTCCAGCTACTATAAGCGCTCGCCGCCTCTGTCGCCGCCAGCCGAAGAGCCCAAGGTCTCATTGCCTTCAATCTCATCTCTCTTTGAGGGTGCCGATGGTGCTCAGCAAGCAGCTAGTGAGCACTCCAAACATACCACAACCTAAAAACATTATCACTAACCACATACCTCTCAGAGCGCCAACGCCTCTCACCATCTCTCGGTGAACGCCACATCCGGGTCCAGTCCTACGAGATGCCCCCAACACCACCTATGCGCCCCGGCTCCGGCCACGCTCACCGTCGCGCATCACCCGTGGAGTCGCTCTCGCACAAGGAAGCCCACCACCATCTTCACCGTTCCTCAATCTCCAGCACCAGCTCAATCCACATCCCCCGCAACTCAGCACCCTACGCCTCGCCCGCACCAAGCGTCTCATCCTACACATCTCCAATCGACGCTCCTCAACAGCCAATGTACTATCCTCGTCCACCAACCGCATCATCCTTCCAGCCCTCAACCCCAGCATCAGCTCCCCAGATGCCCGCAGTCCAGGTCCAGACGCAGCAGCCTCACCCCCACTCCCACGCCCACTCGTCTCCGGCTCTCATCTCCCCCGTCACCCCGGCCTGGCAGCACCACCACTACTTCCCGCCCTCGACCTCAGCCCCGTACCAGCAGAACCACGACCGGTATATCTGCCGTACCTGCCACAAGGCTTTCTCGCGCCCTTCTTCCTTGCGCATCCACTCCCACTCGCACACTGGTGAGAAGCCCTTCCGCTGCACGCATACCGGCTGCGGTAAGGCTTTCTCTGTGCGCAGCAACATGAAGCGCCATGAGCGTGGTTGCCACTCTGGTCGCCCGGGCCCTGCTGCTGTCGCCACTGCGCTTGTTGTATAAGGCGCTTGTGGCATATCTCGGTATTCTTTCGATTCTTGTCATGTTCTTTTTTTTCAAGGGGGTTATTTCCTTTGTATGGTGGGGATTTCTTTTGTTTGGCGCTATGTGTGATGCCGTGATGATACCCTGGATCTTGGTTTTGATTCTTTTTATCGGATTCCCATATGGTTTAGATGGGTCGGTTCTTGGATACACTATATAAAATTACGATTCTCAATGTATATTCTATGATGAAGACTATATCTCCGTGTTTTTTGATCCTGTACTTGTCTTTGTAGTGCTTGTAGTTCTATTATATCGATGCTCAGGTGGTCCCACCAAAGGCTGCTCACAGTTCCTCCGCCACGGTCGTTCTTACGACAAGCCAAGTTCCATGAGCAGCTTCTTATCCAAACTGCATCAATCATGAGGGACTCACTGACGGAATCGAAAAATTGTCCCTGTCCTTATACACATTGATTCTTGTCTATCTGTGCCCTTAAGATATCATCAAATCATCATAACCATAAATACAACAACCGTGAGATCTACTCGTCCAAGACCCCCTCACCAACGCAGCAAGACTAGTTTCATACCGTGCCGGATTATGATCACTCAACATCCCCCCGCAAACCGCAACTCACCAAACCAAGCATCCACATCCCGAATAAACCGAATCTGCACACGAGTCGCAGGCCTTCCAAGACGCGGAAACCCATCGATCCCAAGCTCCGGCGCTGTAAACGCATCCCGCTGCAGAACCCGCATCGTCTCAACGACAAACACCTCACCGGGCGGCATAAGCTTCGGCGCACGCATCTCATCCCGCAGCAGTTTCAACGTCTTCCACGCCCAGGCATCTTCGCCGACGCCGTCGCCCGCATTGACGACTAGCGGTGGCTGGTTGACGTAGAATTTGTGGATAATGCTTTGGCGGAGGGAATCGCGGACCCGTTGTCGGATGTGTGCTTTCGCGCCTGTGGCGTCGTCTTTGAAGGATAGCGACGCTGTGTGCATGTCGTGTAGGATGCCTAGTGACAGGCTGGGGACTATGTCTGAGCCGTTCACGATTGTTGTTATTAGGCCCCGTGTGGCGAGGCGGAGGAAGGGGGACATCGTGGCCGGGGGCCCGTAGGCGTAGACATGGATTGGTCGGTTCGCGGGGAGGGTGTAGGTTGGTGGGCTTGGGTCTGGAGTGCTGGGGTTGGCATCTGCGGTTAAGAAGCGGGGACGAGTGGCGGGTTGGTATGAGCTTGTTATGAAGGATGTGCCTGTTGTGGATGGGTTTGGTTCTGAAATCATCGTTGCGAGAAGGGCTGCGACGCCTCCGCCAAGCGAGTGTCCGCATAGAACTATGCCGTAGTCTTGGAATTCTTCTAGTGCTGCGCGTAGGGTGATCATTACTCGGCCGCCGCCGCCCTCTAGAAGCCGCTTGGCTGAGGCGTGCATGCCTTTGTGCACCTTCCAGCTTTTGCCCTGCCATTCAAGGTCGTCGTAATCGCAGGTCATGTCTGTGAGGATGTCCTCGAAGCCCCATGTTCCTCGTAGAGTCAGGACCACAGCTTTGGAGTCGTGATCGATGGAAAGATAGTGGATCAGTGGGAAGCCTGTCTCTGTTTCGCCAGCTGAGTTGGAGCCACCAGCTGGATCAACGAATGACGATAGGAGGATCGTAGAGGGCGGGAGACCTGCGTTCTCTGAGAACGCACTGTGCTCGTGGCCGTCTGACTTGGTATTAGGTAGATTCTTCGAGCCATTATGAACGCCCATGACTTTGAGCGCATTCGAGCCATATGAGGCAGCGGAGAACCGGCAGAACCGGCGAATGTTTTGTACGAAGTGTCTCTCTGGAAAGATGCCTGGAACAAAGCCATCGCGGTTGAGCGCCTGGATGGTTTCCATATCTTCATACGCACTTTTGCGAGGCCGATGCGCAAGCAGTAGCGAGGTCTCAGACCCAGCAGTTGCTAGTGAATACAGGCTGGGGGTGTATGATCGGGATCTGTGATGCATAGCTGACGAGCCAGGACGGCTATCATTTGCATACACATTCCCGTCTGCCTCTGATCGTGTCACAGACAAGGAGCTGCTGCTGCGAACGTGAGTCTGGACCGCGGCAGGTGATCCAGGACGCGTACCAACACCACGACGTGATAAGAATGTGTCGGTTTGAGTGAGGAGCGACTCTTGACTCTTCTCTCGCATCGCGAAATGGCCCCCTCGTGAGCCCCTTGAAGCATGCATATCGTGAGATGAAGTGTGTTTCCCTTGCGACTCTGGCGATTGTCTTTGAGTGGAGTTAGGGAAGGGCGACCTTCTTAACCCCCGATTTGGGACAGGGGTTGTCGGTCGATAGCTTAGAGGTTCGGTTTGGCTCTTCTTGAGAGTGGGTCTGCTGGAAGCCTCTTGCGCAGTTGCTTGCTTCACAGCCGCTGTTCCTTTTGTAGGCCTGGGAGGCAGACGCGGACTTGTAACCACCGAGGGCCCAGATGAGTTTATAGATGACCTCTTTCCTGGTGACCGCTTGACCTCATTTCTTTCCAGAACAGCTGGCTTAACCTTTTGTGCAAATTTTGCGAATGGGCCTTTGCTCAGCGTAGGCCGGGAAGATTCAGTCGGCGAGTCCGGAATCATTTCACGGTGCTTGGGAGCAACGCTCTGAGTGGCATCGGGATGCAAATGAGAATGATCATGTTGAGACTTCACCGGACTACTGGACAATGAGTTGCTCGGCAATGCTCGTTTATGATGATTAGGCTCAGGTAGGACAGAAATTCCAGAGCCATCATAGTGTCGCAGCTGGGTATCCTGGGATTTGTTGAAGGCTGTCCTAAACACCACTGTATGCCTGGGAGATCGTCGCTGGTCATCAGCCGTATTGATATCCCCATGATCATGGTCATGATGGAATCTCTCCTCTATCATCTTCGTACCAGGCGGCGCAGCGATCTCTGCTGTATCATCATCGTATATATCGACCGTGATCGTCCGCGCGGTCAGGACTTCCGATCTAATAGATGCGTGACAGCCCGGTGGAAGTTGGCTCATAATATAAGCGCGGATATCCTCATCAGACACTTGCTGCTGACCATCTAGTGGAATAGAGAGGCGATGCCCAAATGAATCAGACAAGCTCGACCGCCGAACTACATCCAAGGCTTCCTCACCATTTCCAGGCATCACAAAGGAAGCACTGCCAGGTTCCACGAACTCCTCATTATTGCGATCGGGAAATTGCAGTTGATGGAACCCGATCACATCTGCTCTTGCGCCGTTGTCCAGGATGACAACATCCCAAACAATCTCATCCCCGCCATTCTGCCGCAGATGTCTTTCGGTATTCTTCTTACCCCAACGCTGCAATAGCGCGAAGCCTAGAGAGCCGATGAGGAGATCCCCAACGCCGATATTCTCGGTACTTGCACCGGGTTCAACGGATCTAAATTCACGCCGAATAAGCGTGATAATGGCCGCAATAGCTCTCGAAGACTCGGTAGACCCAAGAATGGCATCCAAAGTAGACAGAAGCGCCTGCGATATATTTGCAACAGATGACAGAGTAGTTGACGAGAAATGAAAAGTTGCTGCGGCAAAAAAAGATGCCGAGGTCACTGTCGTGTGGAGCGTTGCCAACTAGGGGGTTGTTAGTTAGGACCAAGTCGACTGCCCCTGCAGGGGTTCAGGAACATACACTTCGCTCGAGGAGAGACTCGGCTTCTGTTCTACCGTGTTCATCGCCACTACGAATGGCGACATCTCGTCCTGCCCTCGTCAAGATTCCTTCGACTAAAGCCCGGCTTAGTTCCAAGCTAGTCAGAGTTGTGGCTCGCGCGCCATCCAGAGCTGCCCCGCCAAAGAATGTACCTAGTCGTAAGGATAGTGAGGTTGACTGGGTAATCAAAGATATCAATGACGCGACTGGCCGCGGGAGTAGAGTTGATCCTGAGGGAGCGTGAGCGTGGGCATAGTCCATAGTGATATCGTCAGGTTTTGCTTCATCCTTAGACTTTGGAAACATATCAGGAATATTCAATCCATGAAGATTTTACATTTACAGTGCCGCCATGTTGTGAGCCTGTAAGCCTGGTAATCCCAACTGTTGAAGATCGGCCATTTCACATGTGTAGTAACATGTGATCGACTTCCCGGATTTCTATACACGTACGTACGGAGTACTCCGTACTCAATCTGATTCACTCTACATCATCGCCTTCACGTCACCTCCATACTGCACCTTGCGGATCTGACTCCGGTCGCAGTCCTGCACTCTCCGAATCCCCGATAGGCCCATGTTCTGCCACAAATCGGCCAAAAGACCCTTGAGCACCTGTCTGGCCCCGTCTCGGCCCTGAATGCTCAATCCGTAAATCACCGGTCGACCAACAAGAACTGCTTTGGCTCCTAAACACAGTGCCTTGATCACATCCGAACCTGTCCGAATCCCGGAATCGAAAATTACCGTCATCTTGTCCCCGACTGCATCGACTATTTCCGGAAGAACGTCCAGAGACCCAATAGCACCATCCACTTGACGGCCTGGATGAAAATGATTAGAGGACATGAGAAAAAAAGGCAAAGAAATCACTGACCACCATGATTTGATACCACAATCCCATCACATCCATATTTCAGCGCCAACCTCGCATCATCCACGTGCTGAATTCCCTTCAGAACAATCGGCCCATCCCAATTCTCCCTCAAGAAAGCCAAATCCTCCCACGAATGTGGACTGCCAGCGAAAATGTCCCCGATCCACGCACGCGAAGCACCGATGATATCCTCCTCAATCTTCGATCCAGTTTCCTTCTCGAACTTCGCGCGGAAAACAGGATCGCTAAAACCGACCTGGTTCCCCACCCCCTTGATAAAGGGTACATAGGCGTTATCCAAATCCGCCGGTCGCCATGCCAGCGACCATGTATCCAAGGTAACAACCAGGACCGAGAACCCGTTCTCTTTTGCCCGCTTGAGCAGCGACAAGGTAACGTCATTGTCCCTAGGCCAGTACAGCTGATACCAGCGCTTCCCGTCCTTGTTGGCGGTCGCAACGTCTTCAATCGAGCTCGTGCTCGCCGTGCTCATCGTATACGGTACCCCGACTTCCTCGCATACTTCTGCAAGACCTGTCTCCTTGTCTTCGTGGAAGATGCCCTGTACGCCGACCGGCGCTACAATAAGGGGATTATCGTATTTTTGGCCGAAGAGCTCGACTGAAACGTCTTGTTCGGGTGTCTGCGTCGGTCAGCTAGAACAGTATTTTCATTGTGTATTGTCGTAACTCACATTTCGCATCATACGCGGGATTCTATCGGCCTCGTTCGTTAGTTTCTGGGTATTGTGGTACACATTTAGAAACCTACAGCTTCCACTGCCGGAATGCCAGCCGGTTGCTATCCATTGTAGCTTTCTCGCCTGCTCCGCCGGCGACATAATTGAACGCGCGAACGCCTAGAGACTTCCGAGCTTGTTCCTCTAGCTTGCGGGGGTCGGTGGTTACGCCGGGTAGGATGCCCATCAAGGCACCCTTGCCATAGATTTCCGTTTGGTAGCTGCCGTAGTTATCAGACATTGTCAAGCGTTGGAAATCGTTGATTGAGGTGTCAGAGAATCCAAGGTCCAAATCTGGGGTATTAGTAGGTGCGGAGGTGAATCATTTAGACCGAGGTTACGTATATCCATGCTAGCTTCACGTATGATACCTGTTGTTCAAAACAATCTGCTTTATAAAGTCATTTGTCCTTCCATTTATTGTGCAAAATCAATTAAAACATATCTTTCAAATCAGAACTTTACCCAACAGCATAACTACTCTTAGTTCTAAGTCTCTCACCATATCTCCAAAGAATAACAGGCACCGGAAAGCCCACAACAACAGCAACAAGAGCCAGTATAGTAGTCCCCCACCCATAACCCAATGACTGATACATCCTCGGACCAAAAAGAGGAAACCCGAACCCCGTTAATCCACGAAGAATATAAACAGCGCCCGTCGCACTAGCCGCATACAATGTAAAAGCCTCATACAGATACGCACTGGTACACTGGAACAGAACCATCGCAGCGCCGGCAAACAGCGCAATGCCAAGATCAGGCACAATCCAATGAGTGACGGCCTGCGCTGCCCATCCGTACCAGAGCAGACCGACAGGGGCGAGGATCGAGGCGGGAAACATGAGAATTACTCTAAATTCCGGTTTGCCATTCCCGTCATGTTTCTTTTTCAGGGATCTGCATATCGGATCTGCGAGGAACCCGCACACTTGCGAGCCCAGGAAGTATCCGATTCCTAACGCCAGGTAGTTCAGACTAGCTGGACCGAGGGGCTGGTGGTACTTCTCTTCCCAGAGAGTTGTGAAAGTTGAGAGAACTAGGTACATCAGTCCGTATAGATAGGCATAAAATATGGCTAGGAGCTGGACGATGGGCTGGACTCTCAGGAGCTGCAGGGGCCTGAGAAGAGAGTTGCGATATAACTGGCCGAGAGTCTGGTCTGGCTTCTCATAAGGTGTCTTCAGTAGAGTATTTGGCGCAGCCGTTTTCAGCATCCTCGCCTTTCTCCTCGTGAGAATGACAGGTGGGTATGTCTCCTGCATGGCAAGCAAGCCAAGCACAATCAAGACCCCGTCGAAGATGGATGTTGCCCAGAATGCCCAGCGCCATGTTGTGTATTGAGTGATAAACCCACCAATGACAGCCCCCAGGGAAGGGCCGAAGACAGGCCCAAGATTATAGATGGCGATGACCCAGCCGCGCTCTTCTTTGGGGAAGCAGTCGCTGATGATACCAGCGCCCACCTATGTTTGGCATATTAGGGGAGGACATAGCTGTAGAGGAAGGAGCGTACTCACAACAAGTCCGCCGGCGCCTCCGAAGCCGGCGAGGAGACGAGAGGCGAGTAATTCGCCTTTATTTCGAGCGAATCCACATACCAGGTTGAAGATCAGGTAAAATGTATTCCCGGAATGCAAGACTGCGGCTCTTCCATATATCTCGCTCAATGGGCCGAGTAGTAGAGGTCCGAGACAGTAGGTCAGGACGAAAGTTGACATGACGAGAACTGCTTCTAGTGAGCTGCCCATGTGTAGTTCGTCTTTTATGGTACTCAACTCGGGTGCGACAATTGACGAAGATAGTGGCATTAGAAACACCGAAAGAGAGACGATCATTGTTATTGTCCATTTCTTTGATTTGGGCCAGTTCAGTGGGTTTCCAGGGTCATTTTCTTCAAAGTCAATGGTCAAGGACTGGGTTTGTTGTATCTCGGCCTTTTGTTGGATGACATTCTTTGTGATTGCGGGTTTGTTTTTGATATCATAGACTTGGTGGGAATTTTCATTTAAAATTGGTTCGTTTGATGTATTTACTGGTTGGTTCATAGTCTGAGTCTCAGTCAAGATACTAGCAAGACAGAAATGCCGAAGGGCACATTCTCTCAACTTGAGTCTTGGAGCTCTAAAGCCAAGATGTTCATCTTTGCCGACTTTGATACGACACTGATCAAGCATTTGCGACAGGGGTAGTAACAAAACATGTTATCCCATTGGCTGATAAACTAAGGTAGAAGATTCCGAGTGACTCACACTAGCCTGGACAAATGTTATGAATAGGTAGAGATCTGCAGCACATCCAGTACGCATCCAGCACCTACCCGTGTCTCACATTTTTGTATGTACAGGGCATGTGGATTGAAATCTGACGCACAAATCAGTGCTCGTGAAAAAAAGTGGACATCAAATGAGTTAGATGTTGGCTCTAGCGACTTCGACCCCGTTTGAAGGCGATGGAGACAAGGTGTGGTTCCAGCTTTTGAATTAAATTTAGATGATTGCTAATCGCAAGGGATTGCATGCGAGCTGAAGAATCATGAACATTGGTGGGTATCTCAAACAAAAAAAAAATAACAAATAAACGCGTGCGTCAACGAGAAAGGAAATCCCCTCGTATTCCTAGGCAGGCCCAGGCCATTGTCGAGGGAGAATCACGCCGAGTTCCAGATCTTGATAGTCATGTCATCAGATGTGTAGACTACCATGTTTTCATCGCTAGACAAAGTCATGGCACGAACCCATCCGGAATACCCCGTTAAGACTCTGACGCAGACAAACCCTAGTGGGGCAGCCCATACGCGGATCGTCTGGTCATCAGCCGCAGACGCCACCTGGTTCCCATCAGTAGAAAATGCGATCACGCGAATAGGTCCCGAGTGACCGCGGAGAACGTTGAGCAGGTCGCCAGAAGTCGTATCCCAGATGCGCACGTCCTTGTCCTGCGACCCGGACGCGAGCAGCTTCCCATTAGGAGAGAAGCAGACAGCCCTGATTGATGTTTCATGGCCAGTAAGTTGATGGATTTCATTGCCGGTAGTTGTATCCCAGAGGCGAATTGTGTTATCGTCCGAAGTTGAAGCGACAGTCTTGCCGTCAGGTGAAAAGGCAACCGCCCGTACCCAGCCCGAGTGCCCAGTGAGGGTCTTGAGTAGCGAGCCCGAGCTCGCATTCCACAGTCGGACCGTGAAATCATCTGAGGCTGAAGCGAGGGTTCTTCCGTCGGGGGAGAACTCCACCGCTCGCACTTTGCCGGTGTGGCCTTGCAGCATGCGGTAGGTGAACCCGGTATTTACATCGCTGATGCGAATGGTCATATCATCGGACGCGGTGGCTAAGAATCGGCCTGCCGGAGAAAATCTCACAGCGCGCACCCAGTGGGAATGGCCGTTGTCTTTTGCAGCGCCGCGCTGGAGACCGGTGTTGGGGTTCCATAGACGGATCATCATGTCATTGGAGACCGAGGCCAGAATTTGGCCATTGTTAGAAAGAGTGACATCCCAAATCCAACCAGTATGGCCATCAAGCGTTTTGGATGCGACTAGCTTCCCAAAGGAAGGAGTGACTAGGTTTGTCATCGGTATTTTTTTTTCCTGGATGATTTTGATGGATTTTGATATTTTTGGTGGTGCGAGAATCAAGCAGAAAAAGATGTTGATATTCCAGATCTCTTATGGAGAAAAGAAAATATCAAATTCAGCGGATTTCAGAAGCTCTGGTAAAACGTGTGGAGGACTTCTCATGGTGTGAAGGGGGTCAGCAATGCATTGCGGGGTGAATGCAGGAAAAAGTCCCGTTCATGACAGAGATCAATCCTTGACTATAGGAGAAGATCAGAAAGGATAGTTCTTCGCTTTCTGTGCAGCAAATAGGCCATGGGCAAAAACTTGACAGTTGGGGATTAGGTAAGCTGGCTAGACCCATCCATCGCGAGATCTGCTGACCTTCCTATTTTTGCTCTTGAAAGGCTTTGGAGTGTGTCTTCATCGTTGACTGTGAACGGATCGAACGGATCTTACACATGTTGGACGTGTTTCTTTTTTATGATTCCGAGTTATTCTCACTACCCAATTCGGAAGGTTAGTGCCGAACCCACTCGAGAGCCAGGACTACCCAAGCTAGAGTGGGAACTGACTTGAAACTGCTGTACGCAGTAGAATTTTATCAACAATTCAATTGTAAAAGAAGATAGATGTCATCATAACTGAAGTGTAGAACAGACCATAGTCGGAGCAGAGTCCCGTCTTATCAATCAAGTCAAGGGTTATCCATCTTGGCACTTGGCAACTTTAATTCCTTTTCTTTCGCGTGAGATTTTGACCAGGAGATTCTCGGGTCTTTTCCGGTAAATACCGGCCCAAGGGTCTTGAATTTATTTTCTATCTTTCCATTGATTCATCTGGCTTCATGGGTGCTGAACTTGAGACCGGTTCACCGAACCAAGATGTGTCCGATGAATTCAGCTCGGGGCCAACTCTTGACGAGGAACGGGTCGAAAAGACGCTGATCAGAAAGATCGACCTACACATTCTTCCTTTCGTCGTGTCATTGTATCTCTTCAGTTTCCTAGATCGAGGTACGTGGGGGGTGGGGGTGCCTGACTCATCTCGTTGCGATTGCAACTGTGCCAATGGGAAATCGGAAATCTCAGCTGACTTGGATTGGCAGTCAACATTGGAAATGCACGATTGTACGGCCTGGAAGAAGACCTAGGACTCGTTGGAAACCAGTACCAAGTCTCTGTGTCCATCCTTTTCGTAACCTACTGTGTATGAATCTCACGCAATCCAGTCCCCGCACGGACGCTAATCCCAATCTTCAGTTTTTCGAGGTCCCTTCAAATCTTGTACTCAAGAAATTAAGGCCGTCTCGGTATATTGCCACGATCTCAGTCTTATGGGGTATCATTGCAACCCTCACAGGGATCACGCAGACTTATGGCGGCTTGATCGCCTGCCGAGTCCTACTCGGAGTAGTAGAAGCGGGTCTTTTCCCAGGCTTCATAACCTACCTCACCCTCTTCTATAGCAAACGCGAGATTGCTCTGCGAACAAGCTATCTGTTTAGCAGTGCTGCTATTGCGGGAGCCTTTGGCGGGTTACTGGCTTACGGCATTGGGTTCATGGACGGCATCTGCGGAATGCGAGGTTGGCGCTGGATCATGATTATTGAGGGAATCCCGACAGTTCTACTTGGGGTGGCAACTTGGTTCGGCTTGGCGGATGACCCGGACACGGCTTACTATCTCAACAAAGAGGAGCGGGCACTTGTTGCCCGCCGCCGGAGTCGTTATATCGGCCAGACAGAGTCCGCGCAGAAGTTCCACTGGGCCGATGTGAAAGAAGGCGTCTTGGACTGGAAAATCTGGGCATTTTCCTTTGCCCAGTTTGGTATCGATACCATGCTCTATGGATATAGTACCTTCCTTCCTACTATCATCAAAGGCATGGGCAAGTGGACCACCGCGGAGGTGCAGGCATTGACAATCCCTTGCTATGGACTGGGTGCCATTGCATATCTGGGCGTTGCCTGGTTGAGCGACCGCAGTCAACGCCGTGCATTCTTTATCTGTCTCTTCTGCGCCATCTCGGTCGTCGGCTATGGCATCTTGATTTCAGACTCATCCTCGGGTGTCCATTACTTCGGTGCCTTGATGGTCGCGCTGGGTCTCTACGTTGCTGTTGGTTTACCTCTTGCCTGGCTACCTACGAACCTGCCACGATACGCAAAACGCACCTACGCAACGGGCTTGCAGCTTACCTTTGGAAACATCAGCGGAGTCATGTCCCCTTTCTTGTATCCTAATTCCGAAGGCCCGCGATTCGTCCGCGGTAATGCTGTTACTCTGGGTATGGTGGCATTTGCTGGTCTCGTGTATGGCGGTATGTGGCTTTCCTATCGTTTCATCAACAAACGCAGAGCCCAGGGCCTGGAGGACGAAAAAATATCATCGCTGTCGGAGCATGATATCCAGGAAATGGGTGATCGGAACCCCAGATTTTTATACAGCATTTGAACCATCAAGCTGGGCTCTTTCTTATTTTCTTTCGGGTTATTTATCATGCATACAGCGGGACATATACAGTCTTTGGCCATCAAGCCATGACAGCTCAATGTTTATACAAGTTTTGATAATTATCAGACACTAGGATCTGCATACAATTACTTTCGGGGTCTCCCTAATCATACTAAACTAGAAAATTTCGCCTTCAAAAATGGTGATGTCATTAACTTTGTGTCCGGGGGAGGTATAAGTCCGGGGTAAACTTCACTCCACAAGCATCTAATACCAGCAACACCCTCTCAAGTATCAATTGGAAATCCTCATAAATCCGTTGATTCGAAGTCGATACCGCAATCCGAATCATGAAGAGTTCCAAGTCGCTCAACCGAGCGTTCCAAGCAGCCACCACTACCAACCTTATGCGCTCCCAATCTCTTCGCGGCACATCTTATCTCCAACCACGAAAAACCGCTCAAACAGAGGATCTCATTCTCGAAAGGTGTATTCTGAACCCGGAACGAGCAGAAACCTGCAAATCTGGCACAGACGATGAAGTCGCCCGTCACAAATCTCCATACGACCCGTCCAGAACAGCACCCATTCAAGAGCACCTCGAACTAGAGGAAGAATACAAAATGGAAGGGGATCCTATTCACGATCCACTTCTTGTAAGCCCTGCAAATATGGATGTCAGTCAAGCCGTGGATCCGATGGCTGGCGTTCATGGTTTGCAACATTTGAGAAGCGTCAGAGGCTGGACTAGAAAGGGAAGGAAGGCGCTTCTAAAGACGGAGCCGTACAAGATGAGAACATATGAAAGTGTATTCGTCGAGACCAGGAAGCCTCGCCAAAAGACTTACTAAGGTTGATATGGCTGGCTCTCTTTTGGGGCTGGCTGCCTGGGTAGAAGTGTTGAGTCCACCTGTTTACCATTCATCCGCAGTTATAAAAAATTGAGAAAAATCACATCTTCATGTTCATTTGATCAGTTCTTGTAAATTGTTCGTACATCAGATGTCCAATTCACGTCTAGGAAATTTCAGCTTAGCCCAACCAGAACCCCATTTTCGTTCTCGAATGTCAAGCTAATCCTTTCGATCCATTCTTTGGTATTATAGTTGGATACAGTTGAAAAAGTCTGGAACATACGAGCCACAATGTACGTGAGCACAGTCATAGAATACTGTTCTGCAGGGTCATCAGTTGACATGTTGACCATAGGACCAAGGGGGGAGAGCTTACGACCAGGACAGATTCTGGGACCTTTATTGAACGGAACAAAACCGGAAAGATCACTGCTTAGGTGTTCCCATCGCTCTGGATAAAACTTTTCTGGATCTGCTCCAAAGTCTTTCCCTAGGCGATGCCGAGCCCAGGTTGAAAAAACCACAATATCGCCCTTTCGAACCAGGACTGGCGACTGGCCATCGGCTCCTCCACCACTTGGCATCGTGGAATGCTTGTTAGCCACCCTTGCGTTGAACACAGCGGCGGGGAAAACCCTCAACGCTTTGCAGGCTATGTGTCAGTGCATGCTTGCTGAATGCTTTGACGGGCTTTCCTCACCTTCCTGTAGTACCCAGCGGACATAATGCAACGTTCCAAGCTGATTCCACGTTGGTGGTGTGAATCCAATGGTATCAATTATGCTTGCTCGGAGCTTTTTGACGATACGTTCGTCCTGGGACAAACAATATAAAAGACCCGAGAGAGTGGTGCTCATGCTGTCATTTGCAAGAATAATACTCATTGCCTGGTCGGCGAATAGCGCAATTTCCTCGGATTTGTTGAAATCCGTACCAGCACACCCATCTTCGGTCTTTTCAATACTGCTGCTTCGTTTTTCAATTTCCCGCCCGGCATGGGCCATTACATAGTTCTGTGCTCTCCAGCACGATTGATAAAAAGCTCGCTTGGGTACTAGATGACGGAGTGGACCACGGAAACCGTCTCGCACTATCCTTTCTTTGACGACTTCAATATCGTCTACAAACTGCTTCTTTTCTGGGGACTGAGTAAAGCTGAGAGCATCAACAGACTCTCCAAGAGAGAACCGGGTCTGCATATCCAAAGCGAGAGCAGAAGTACAATGTTGAACGTCAAAGACCTGGCCATTGGGTGGAATATGTTGAACAAAAGCCTGGAAGTGCGTTTCACATAATTCCAGATCAATGATGTTTCGGAGATTAGACAGACGACTCCGTATTTGTCCTCGACTTCTCTTCCAGTCTGTGCCATCGAGAGTAAAAATGCCATGTGGAGTTATTGGCTCGAACAAGGGTTTTCGCAAGGGAGAGCTATCAAAATCGACAAACGCGGTAGACAACATATGCTTAATGTTTTCTGCACTGCAGGTAAAAATCAATCGGCGGCCGAGAACATTGGAGGCATATGTTTCGCCATATCTCTGAAATAGAGAATTTGTATATTGGAGCGATGTCCGCTGCCGAAAATGAGAGGCTAATTTTATTGCTTTCACGATACCGAAGAAATCGTATCGGAACTCATCGCGTTCGTCAGAGAGTTTCTTGCAGCCATACAGTCGTTCAAGTGCTCGCAGTTGTCGGTTCTGGTATAGTTTTCGTGCTAGGAGAACAACTTGAATCCCAACAAATGCCAGCAATATAGATCCCAACATACTCTCTTGTCTGGTAGCTTCTGATGATGTTTGAATTGTCATGTTCGAGATCTTTCAAGGTCGTGTTGGCGGTCAGATAGCTGGTCATCGACGGACAGTAAGGGGCATGTGAATCACCGCAAGGGCTGGCTTTCTGCGACTTATCAATTGCAAAAAAGAAAAGAAACCTGATATTTCAAACCTGATATGACTGCGGGGACAATGTATCATACTGTACAGCGCTGTCTGAGGTCCTTATGGAGCCAGATCACGCTGCAGGTAGATTGCTGCCGCTTTAGCGCTCATTTTTGCTTCTTTAGACTAATGCAGCCATGAGATAATAGATTCCGAGTCTTCCATTAATTCCGGCACAATTACGGAGTATTTAATAGTGGATTGGCAACATGTATAAATTTACATATCCTGAGGGCAAAGCTCAACATTACCCTGCAGATTGCACACAATTTCGCTCCCAGCAATTGACCATACACATCACCAATATGACCCAACAAAAAGAGTCCGATGGCCCTTCCCTCGCTTCTCAAGTAGAGCATGCCCTGAATCTTTCAAACGACTATGCACTCGGCTTGGTGCATTCCGATGGCCATTGGTATGGCGAGATGAATAGCAATGTCACCATCACCGCCGAATATATCTTCCTCCGACAAGCATTGGGACTGGATCTCAAGGCTGATTCTGCAGCCTACTGCCGTTATCTCCTATCTCAGCAAAATAGTGATGGCTCCTGGGGCCTGGCACCCGAGTATCCAGGCGATGTCTCAACTTCGACCGAAGCCTATCTCGCACTGAAAATCTTAGGCATAAGCCCGCATGTTCCAGCTATGCAACGGGCTCGAGCATTTGTGCTAGAAGCAGGCGGAATTGCACGCGTCCGCGTGTTCACCCGTATCTTCTTGGCTACCTTTGGTCTGTTCCCTTGGAATGCAGTACCGGAGCTTCCCGTGGAGCTTATGCTTCTGTCCTCCATTTGCCCAATCAACATCTACAAATTCGCATCTTGGGCTCGTGGTACTATTGCGCCTCTGTTGATTATCTGTCATCATCAACCCGTGTACCCTCTACCGAAGGGAAAGGGCTCTCTGCCGAATGACAATAACGACTATCTAGACGAGTTATGGTTAGATTGCACGAACAAAAATGTACCATACGGGCTACCCCTCTGGGATTTGATGTTGCAAAGAGAATTCACGGGACTAGCATTCGGAGTTTTGGACAAAGTGCTCTCTCAACTGAATGGACTTCGTTCCGTTCCCTTGCTCCGAGCGTACGCCCGAAAACAATGCATGAAATGGATATTGGAGCGCCAGGAAAAGTCCGGTGATTGGGCAGGAATCTTCCCACCCATGCATGCCAGCATGTACGCATTCACACTAGAAGGTTACAAGCTAGAGGACGACCCCGTTCGTCTTGGATTCCAAGCCTTGGAGAGGTTTGCGTGGGAAGACGAGAATGGAAAGCGAATCCAAGCCTGTGTCTCACCCGTCTGGGACACAGCTTTGATGACGATTGGGCTCTGCGATGCTATGTCACCTAACAAACAGACCATCGACCAAGCTCTCAAGTGGATTCGAGCTCGCCAGTTGCTTGAACCCCGCGGGGATTGGCGAGTATACCGACCCCGGTTAATTCCCGGTGGCTTCAGCTTCGAGTATGAGAACAGCTGGTATCCCGACGTGGATGACACGGCTGCAATCATTCTCGCTCAGGTGAAGCACGATGCTGGATCTATTGGCTCGGATTCAGTGATTGCAGCAGCCACGTGGATTCTGGGCATGCAGAATCCCGACGGAGGGTGGGCTGCCTTTGATGTGGAAAACGATAAACAATTTCTCAATAAAATTCCATTCAGCGACATGGATAGCCTATGCGATACATCGTGTGCTGATATTACTGGGCGGATCCTTGAGGCTTTCGGTCTGATGATGAGATATCCTGCAAAGACTGGCCCGAATCCTCTATTGCCTACACTGCGTGCCGCGTGTGCACGCGGTGTGCATTACCTTGCTTCCACGCAGGAGACTAATGGATCTTGGTTTGGAAGATGGGGCTGCAATTACATCTATGGCACGAGCCATGCGCTATGTGGTCTGGCTTATTTTGGCGAGGGAAGTCTCGCCCGCGTAATTCAGCCCGCTCTGCAGTGGCTGAAATCAAGGCAAAATGACGATGGCGGCTGGGGCGAATCCCTCCTATCATATCAATCGCCTGACCGAGGAACGCAGGCTTCAACGCCGTCGCAAACTGCATGGGCGTTGATGGGGTTACTCTCTCATCTTCCAATCACAGATGATGCTATTGAGCGCGGGATTCGGTACCTGGTCTCCTCCCAAAGACCAGAGAAAGGTGGATCATCATGGCCCCAAGCGGTATATACTGGAACAGGGTTTCCAAATCATTTTTATCTGGGATATGATTACTATCGCCATTATTTTCCCATGATGGCGCTAGGGAGGTATCTGCAAGGAACTCGAGGCTTGAAGTGAAGGGGTATCGAAGTCAAATGATCACCCATAGTTCATACTTGTTTTCAAATATCCGTAGAGATGCTCTCCTAGAAGGCCCAATAGAAAGTCATCCCGAATCCCAAAATTTGGCCCTGCAGTTCAAGCGAACTCACATGCAGTCTAAGTAGTCTGATTTCAGACCTTGTGCAGAGCTATCTACCCCGGATAAGCGGGCCGTGATCTTTGAACAAGATCGGTCTCCCAAATTCGGAGCGAGATGGACGTGGTATCTGCAGCATAATAGGTGTGACGTGTACTTGCCTTGGCGCTGATGCTCGCAAATGCAAGAGCAATCACCTTGCAGCCTTGCACTAGCTCCCCGAGAAAAGAAAATGTCTAGCACGTCCACATATCAGCCCCAATTCACATCCATTCCTTCTCCTGCGACCCTATACTTCCTTGCGTTGACTCCAGCGAAGCATGTTTTCCAACCCGGGATAGAACCTTGGTTTTGATACTGACCTTATCCCTTGTATCATTCATAAACTACAATGGCAGACAAATCATATCGTGGATAGAGATTTCTGAGCTATCGATACCTGCAGGGTGATTAATTGAATGCGCAATTTGTTTGCACATTGGTATTTATGAAATATTGAAGTAATCTACAATACACATCTCAGCCTTCATGATTGTTTGATAAGTCGAGACCTTTCTCTCAATTCTCGTATAGCCTGAACACTCAGCTTCCATGAACTATTGGAGATGGGTATTTTTTCTGTGTTCGGGCGTAAACGGCCGGCAACAGTGCCCACCGACCGAATTATTCCTCTGCGATACTGGGATGACCTGCACTACCTACGTTCGATTTGTCATGCCTTTACCTTCCGATTTGACGACGTCCTAGATGTGGTCAAACTCGAAGCAGCGCTAGGAAGATTGATGGAAATTGGAGATTGGGGTCAGATGGGGGCACGGCTACGTCTTAATGTAGAGTCTTTCTCCAATCCAACTATGAAGTCACACCCTAATGGACTATCCCAGGATCATGGAAAACTCGAATATCACGTACCAGCACGTTATGACAAGACGCGCCCACCATTCATTTTCACGACTACGACATATGGCATGAGTATAAACGATCACCCGTTAGGCTCACAGCTACCTAAATCAGACCAAGATCAGTCTTTCTTGTCACCGTCTTCCGGCTTTTTTACCTCTTTAGTCTGCCACCCAAGCAGTCCTCGAGAGGTGGCAGATTGGCTCTACACCGACCGCCCGCAGCTAAATATTCATACTGCTCTCTTCAATGATGCAACCCTTCTCACAATCAACTATATACATACCTTTGCTGATGCTGTCGCTCGAACCAATTTCTTCAACGCTTGGATAGCTGTCCTTCGTGGCAAAGAAGAAGAAGTGCCAGCTTTTGTTCCTTATGACCATGATCCACTACACACGTTGGGCGAAAACCCCCCCTAGGCAGAGCTATAGCAATATCGGGCGACTATTGAGCGGATTCAGCCTTATGATGTTTGGAATTCGTTATATGTTCGAGATTCTATGGTCTCTAAAACTGGAAGAACACCCGATCCGCCTGCCAGGACGATGCGTGGATCGAATGAGGGAAAAGGTGCTACAGGACCTAGCTATTGCCACTCTGAAAGGAGCAGAAAAGCCACTTGTGAGCGGAGGTGATACATTCGTGAGCGAGGGTGATGTGGTGGTTGCCTGGTGGGTAAGGACAATGATCAAAGCATTGAAGCCTGCACCGGACCGGACGATCATGGTTATGAACGTCTTTAATGTGTGGAGTCTTTTCCCTGAATGGTTCCCCCATGGTGCCGCAGGCCTTATTGGGAATTCATTCTTTTATTCTTACACGCTGCTTGTTGCAAGCAAGGTTCTTCAAGATATCAACTTGAAGTATGTGGCGTTCACGAACCGTAAGGCTCTAATGGAACACAGAACCAAGGAGCAAGTTGAGGCCATGACTGCCATCCAGAGAGGGAATTTTATGAGAGCAGCGCCTGTGGTTGGGGATTCAAAACTGCTCTTCATGGCTGCTACTAACCACCACAAGGCCAGGTACTTTGAGACGGACTGGTCGGCGGCTGTCATCTCTCCTGGTGTGCCCTTGAGTGGGAGGCCTCACGCTCTCGGTAGACCATCATATATTAACGATATTGAGTATTGTCATGGGTACCCGAGTCGTAATATTGTGAGAATTATTGGAAAAGATGCTGTGGGTGATTGGCATCTTTTGTTCAAGGCTAGAGCCGGTGCATGGCCGGTGATCCATCAAGAGTTAATGGATCTGATCGAGACAGAGATGCGGGATTAATGACTACTCAATACATCTACTTTTGTCCAAGGCGCTGTTTCCAGCTACTAGTCACTCGCAGCTTTCGTATTTGAGATTATAATAATACTTCTTATGATTAGAGTAATTTCAGAGCTAAACGATACACAAAAATGGCTCAGAGATCGCCTTGATCTATAACCATGATTACCAATGTTTCTATATTCGGGACGAATGCACGGGGTAGTCCTCGCGGAATTAGGCTCATCTAGTTTGCTAAGTCTGCAATGTCCAATTGTTCACACCTATGGCGCTTCATCCACTCGTTCAAGATCTCTGTAACCCGCCTGAGCTGTGGAGTGACCTATCAAACTGTCCAACACTTTCTCGATGCGGCCGCTATCACTGAGACCGACAGTGCGGATACTAAAGAGACCTCACCCAATATTGCAGCACGAATGAACTGCCAAGATGCACTAGCAGGAGCCGTGGGATTTGGTCCTGTCAAGGTGGTAGAGCTCCTTCTTAACCACAGGGTAGATCTTGATTATGAGTTTGTGCAGTTTGGCATGAGACCACTGCACATTGCAGCTGAAGGTAACGAAAGACAAATGATCAAATTTCTACTTTAGTACGGTGTCAGTCTCTACAGCCTCGACGAAGTGAACACTTCAGCGTTGCATATAGCGACTCTGAACGGGAGTTCGGACGCTGTGCAGATGTTACTCGATTATGGATTTGATCCTAACTTCATTGACGACGAGGGAGACGCACCCATTCATGCCGTAGCCAGACTTCATAGGTGCAAAGGCACCGATCTCCCAAAAGACGTATTGGCAGCAACTAGTACTTTGCTAGAGCGCGGTGCAGATCCTACTTGGGGAACCAGTACGGTTTCATGTCATCGTGGATTGCGGTATTCTTAGACCACACCACCCTGGTTGACCTTTTACTGAAACATGGTGTGAACCCCGATGGCCTGGATGAAAATGGAAATCCGCAAGAGCCCATGCCGATTGAGGAGTTCCGTGAAATGATACATGAGAAGGTGTCAGACTTCTCCGACCGTCTAGCGAGGGTGGCTTACGAAGGTTATCTCAATTGTTGCATGCCACTGTGCATTGCTGCATTTTTGGACTGCGAGGGAGCCGTCGGGCTCTTACTGGAACATGGGGCGAACCCAAGTGTCAAGGACCCGAATGGTGAGACACCACTTCATCTAACAGTTAGAGACAATGACTGTGCGATTGCTGAGCGTGTTATCAAGAAAGGCGCCTCTCTGAAGTCTCGGGATTGTCATGGCTTGACTCCCGTTGAGGGCTTTGCGTTTTGGTGGTCACAAGATGGTACAGCTTTTGCGTGAGAAAGGCGCCAGTGTTAGCTTTTTGGATTGGAGTGGTGGGGATCCGATTTTTCGAGCCCTGGAATACGGTCATACTCTCAGGTCGAATCCGTTTAGGAAGGGTACTTTTGCAACCGCATACTGTTGACTGGGGGGACAACAGCACGAATGGTCATCAAGAGCCATGGCTACGCTATCGGTATCCTGGGGACCGGCACAGACGCAAGTCTCACTAGTGCGTAAATATGGTTGAATGGCTGCTGGATGGAGGATCGAAGGTAGATTCCAGAGACTCCCTTGGCTGCACTGTGCTGTACCAAGCAGCATTTCAGAACTGTGAAGAGACAGTCAGACTCCTTTTAAAACGAATGGCTGATCCCATTCCTAAAGACTCATTTGGCCAAATTCCACTTCACATGGCATGCTCTCTTCTTGGCCACGTTGCCGAAGATGCATTTGAGATCTTGCTTGAAGCCAGCTCTGATACCGATTCCAGAGACATCAATGGTGAGACACCACTATACCAGGCGGCACGAGCCGGCTTTTACGGGGTACTCCGTATGCTGTTAGCGGATAGCCGGGCAGACTTTATGGCAAAGAATAATCATGGCAATACAGCATTGCACTTGGCAGTGCTGAGTGGGCGTCGAGAAAAGGGTGATGAAATGATCCGGGAGGTGCGTAAAGCCGGTATTGATTGCAGCATGGTGAACAACGATGGTCAGACTGCTATGGATATAGCGGAAGACACCATCATTGCATTAGCTTGTGAGTTGACTGAAGAATCAGACGAACGTGAGTCCGAAGAAAGTCCACAGCCGTCTTGAAGTACAATACATACGTTTTAGACAATCACAAATGTGGTGCTTTCTAGCATTAGAAGCAATAGATCGAACGTTAATATTCGTTAATATTCCGGGTCCACAATTACTAAAGATATATCCATACTACTCTGGTGGCAAAATTCCGAAGTACATGTGTACTTACCAATTTTAGTGAGTTTCAGCGTGAGTAAAGTGCATGGTTTCTGATGACTAGTGCTGGCGGTCATTAGGTCAGGCGCAAATCAGAAATCCTCAGTGTCTATTGTCCAAGTGGATCCTAGAGGGAAAGTTCAACAGTGTGAGGCTCTTTTACTGTTTATATCGAAGTGAACATGTTACGAGCGTACTGTCAAATTCCAAAGTTCACCGCAAAAAGAGATGCAATAATCTTCGTTTATCTTCGTTTTACAATACAATATAAAATACCGTAGGCAAGAGGCGGAATCATCTCCCCCTTTTGCGATGACAATGCCAAGACCATCATTCGAGCTTAAAATGTCATTACAATGACGGGCATATCTTTGGCCTTATTGTAATGGATGGTTGCAATCACATTTGATGTCCGGGATTCGTAAGTGCTGACACGGCTGTTTAATCTGATACACTGAACTATGACAGGGTTAATTGTATAATGAAAAAACACGTGCTCTGATAGTACGTATTTGTGTCAGGGTCTGGAACAGAAGTGGATGGTTGTCCTGATTCTCCACAGTCCAGCCTTCACATATGTGCAGTGCCTTCGCCTTGGAGTGGTTTGTAATATATACTCCGTACTTAACACAGTATAACCTCCAATTGATAGAAACGGAGTAAAGAGAAACGTCATTTCAATGGTTGTCGATCCTGGCCCACTCTGTGAGGACGTCCATGGACCAGGAAATGTTATCGCCACTGAAATTACATTACCCGATAAGCTTTCAGGGTCTCCTTTTTTTTTGGAACGTCCCTTACGCCGAATATAAATACAAATATATATATATATATATATATAGATATATAGATAGAGCATTGTTTCAAAATAAATTAGCTAAAAGGCTAAGAATCTAAAAATCCAACCATCATAGGTAAATAGTCATAGAATCCTCCGTACTCCGTACTCCGTGCAGCATTATCGTTTGTTAGGAGGGACGCGTGTCCGTGGGGCGTGGGCCTCATTTGCCCCTCCGGTTAATTTTGACTGGTTGACGCGGCTGGGCTGATCGTCTGTGATCATTTCCCTGGCTTGTCTGTGGTTCTACTGTATACAGTACTTGTACACCTGTCCTTTCCATGATATCTAAATTAGCAGTCCGTACTCCGTATGGCAAACTCTTATATGCTTCACACTAGTACGCGTTACTTGGATGGCCCAAGCGCCTCGATAACATTGACGTGATCTCTATTATGTTCACATCATCATGATGGGATACCGGGATGGGAACGGATATTTGTAGTCGCTTATATTGTCCGAAATTACTGATTAAAGGCCCAGACTGACTTACTCGAATAGGTGCAGTGTGCCGACGAATTTGAATACTGGGCGTATCTATACTTAGCAATATCTATATCCAGATTCCATATGTAGTAATAGGTACTCACTCTTCCTGTACATATATTCAGACGCCAGGGAAAGGGCAATCGGAGTTATTAGTACAACATACGTACAACATACATATATTGTATAAGTTTCTGGCCTATCACACAAAGTTAATGAATTTATGTGTGATGGTCCAAACAACTGATCGGCATTTTGACGCGGAGCCTGCATCCGAATATGTGTTGCCGCAAACGGCCTTTTCGACCTTGAGGATACTTGCAACATCTTTATCTTGAAGTGCCAAGGACCGGATAACCATTCCTGACTTGAACAGCCACACCTGTTCCCGGGTCAGACATGAACATTGTTGTGCTCGAGACAGGGGAAAAGAAAAAAAATATCAGTGCCGATCATCGGTTTCATGGCAGCGTATGTATGCCACTGAAGCTGGGAGGGGATGATCCCAGCCAACAGCATTCCTTTTTCCGTCATGATCGACACCTAGGTTTAACAGGCAAGACCAAAAGAATACAAAGTATAAGCCACATCTCATTTGAGATCTTGTCGAAGGCCTTCTGTTCCTGCATCTCAACTTGGCATCAGCAACCGCAACCGGGGAATGAATACCAAGATGTTGATATCAAGCTGCAATATATTTTGATATCTGATATCACCGAAAGCAACATATTATATGAAAAATAGTCGCACGACAGCCATATACATATGTACACATCGATGTAGCAAAAAAGACAGGAAAGGAAGTAAAAAAAAAAGGAACGACCTAAATTATAGATTACGGTAATACCATTACACGGCCAACCCTGTCCCGTTAATTGCTTCGGGGGTCTCCCTTTTTCTTTCCTCCTACAACACCTTCACGACACAATTCACCAAGCTCTTAATCGACTTTTCACTCGGACTGGGCACATCGTCCAGCCGCGTTAGTCTTGATTTTCTTTTCTCTTTCAATCCGCCTACCCCCTTTACAAACGCTCCCCCCATTTGGACCGTGTCGCAGGTCCCGACGCTACCAGCCTCTCGTTGAAATATCTCGGCACTCTATTTGCCTGCCACTCTTTAATCCACTCTTGGAACACTCGTTTATCTGACCATTTCCCAAAGTGGGAATTGCTTTTTGCTACTACCAGCTTTTGCTGCACGATATTTCCGGGATACGACACCTCGCACGCAGAACCCATAACTTTTAATCCCAGGGTTCATCTACCCCGGTTTCGCCTCACCCTGTGCTATTTACATGGTTGGAAACTCGATATAATAAAAAATCAAAATGCCTCTATTTCGAATGAAGACGGTGTTCCCCTTGGTCGCTTTGGTGACCATTGGAATCTTCTTCTTTTGCATGGAACGATACGACCGCTCAGCTTTCCTTCGTTTCAAGCACCCTATTGATCGGGCCTCCTTCAGTGGAAACAAGCAGCCCCAAGTACAAACGCCGGGAGAATCTGATTCACAGCAGCCGGCCAGCCTCACCTGTGAGGCCGACCCGAAATTGGCCGCTCCCTTACCCTTCCCTGAATGGCTCCCACGCAAGAACTACACTCGCGCCTATTTCCGTCCTCGTCATGTGAACCCTCGCACCGAATTCCACACTTTGGAGGAAATTGAGAATCCTGTGCTTCCCCCCATGGTGATCATGGAGCGCGGTATGGTTGTGTCTCCCGAGAACAAGCCGGAAAACTTTGTCTGCCCCGAGATCGTCGAAGTCGATGTTGCCGCCGATGACGATGTAGAGGAGACCTCCAAGCTCCTTTTCGGTCTGGCCACTACTGTCGACCGTCTGGACCGCCTTCTCCCCTCTCTACTTTACTCCTACGGAAACACCAAGGCCGGTCTGATCGTGTTGGTCCCTGAGTCTGACGACGACCTGGAGAAGCAAGAGACCTACTTCCGCAACCGCGGTCTAGACTTGACTCTCAAGGCCTCTCCGCTCGATTTCACGGCCCGCTACTTTGGTATGGTTGAGGCGTTCACTGAGCATATTCGCAAGCACCGCCCGCACACCACCTGGGTTGGGTTCAGCGATGACGATACCTTCTTCCTTTCGCTTCCCACCATCGCCGAGGAACTGAAGCTCTTTGATGAGAGCAAGAAGCACTACATTGGATCTTTGTCTGAAGCCAGCTGGCAGGTGGACACTTTCGGCCACATTGCTTTCGGCGGTGCCGGCGTGTTTGTCTCGACACCTCTTTTGGAAGTCTTGATGAAGCACTACGATGAGTGCCAATCCTGGGGCGAGCAGCCCGGTGACCAGAAGCTTGGCCAGTGTATCCAACGCTTCGGTGACACCCCCTGACCCTGTGGCCTTCGCTCTACCAAATGGACATGGGTGATCCCGTGGACGGTGTTTATGAGTCTGGCCGCAAGATCGAATCCATGCACCACTGGAACAGTTGGTATACCAAGGATGTGGTCAAGATGACTACCGTTGCTGCTGCCGCAGGCCGCAAGTCTGTTCTCCGTCGCTGGGTCTTCGATCAGGAGGAGTCTGTGAGCCCTACTGGCGAGCATCTCCGTCACTTCTGGGTCATGACGAACGGTTACTCGCTGGTTAAGTACACATACGGCGAGCATGTGCCAGATGATGCCATCAACTTCGATGCTACCGAAAAGACCTGGCCCGAAGACCCCCGCGGCTATGAAGATCGCCTGGGTCCCCTGCGTCCCGCAGAGGAAGAGGGCGTTACTAAGGATCGTTGGTTGCTCCGTGATGCATTCGTGGTTGGTGAGAACGTGCACCAATTCTATGTTCGCGAAGAAGATGAGGGCCACAGCGTGATTGAGATCGTTTGGCTCGGTCCCAAGGGCGGCGGTGGCGGTGGTGTGACTGACCATGTCCTTCGCGGAACTTACCAGCAATAAAATTGCACCGCTACTACTTGAGGCTGGTCCTTGGGACTGTTGCTCGTATCTCTTCACTTCGTTGCACATGATTCAGCTCTTTTCTTATTTTCTAAAATACTACACATCTTCCTCTTGCTTTTTCTTTCCGTTCTCGACTTCACGACAGCAGCCCAATATGATTCCAAAGTCAACCTACCCAACTGCCCTTTTGTTTTCCGGATGAGACCCTTGATCGCGACTTGCCCTCCGCATCCTCTAGTTCCTGTTTCATTTATCCGGCGTTGCATTGGCGGAGTCCAGTACGGTGCAGGAACCCGGTGGCTTTGCGTGCTTCCTCCATATCCTGATGGTGTATTCCAATTTTTGAGATGTTCAGTGGCTTTTTTTTAACCGTCCTTTTTCCCTGCCCCTGGACCTTGGCCGAGACTTGCCACGCCTAATCGGTTTGGGCTTGCTCTTATTTTTCTTTCCTTATTTCCTATTTTCCCCATGTCCGGTCTTAAGTGTGCGCTTTTGGAGGAAAAGCCACTTTTCGTGCCCTATGCCTTGCATCCTTTCTGTAAAAATAGACTTGACAGCAGACCTGCTTTTGGGGTTTCCGCTGGTGATTAGCGTTGAACCTTTGTTCATTATGTGAAGAATATGATCGGTTTTAGTCAGTTTAGTGTTGTGCAGCGTATTTGGTATGTAGGAAGAAATCTTGATGGAACCTTGGAAGCGACTGGACTCTGCTGCATCGGGTCTAGGGCTTCTCGGTTCGGCCCGTTGATCGGCTTTGGCTGCTTTTTGTTATGTGGATTCGAGCTGCATCATTTCTCTTTCAGGACGAGTCAACAGCGGTCAATGTCTGCCGTCGGGGCTCCCGATGTGATCTAGGATGTCGCCGTTCAGTACAGCGGTGTGCCAGCCTGGGGTCTGAGGCATGGTGTAAGGGGAATGAACGTTAGCACTGTATGCTTAGAGCAACACTAACCCCGCTTCACTGGGAAGAAATTTTATATTCATACTCTGTGGATGTAGGAGTAACAGAATTGATAATAGAAGGAACAGCAAAGGAGAACAGATATGACTATATGTAGTTTTTCCCTACCTATGTAGCCACCTTTTGTCAGGCCTACATACTGACCAAGTTCCCTCAATCCCTGTGAATATGTTTGTGAAACGCCAAAATATCTCTAGGGGCTCTACGAGGTCTGTGCAAGGCATGTGCGTGCAAGGGGATATGAGATATGTATGGAGTGTGGAGGCTTAGATTGGGTACAACTCCGTACTCCATATACTCCGTACTTAGCCATACAATGATGAATATGATTGTGAGATTGGTTACTGATGGTTGCAATCCGCAAGGTATGAGAACGGCTATACGAGTGAGAAGTGATTTAATAGTGACAGGGGATGCTCTTTGGGGGCTGTCTTTTTGGGGCTATTTATGTACTCCGAATGCGGCCATGCGAAGGATGTTGTATACAGGGCCATTATTCCGTGCCACAAAGCAGGTGCGACCCGCCCCTGTGTGATGACACAGTTTTATTCTTATTCTTTTTTTTTTTTTAGATGTAACCTCGAAAGAGGATGTTTCTCTGATATAGAGTATTGTTCAATGTCTTGATGGGATGTATACAAAATGTGGAAAATGGGGCACGCTCATAGGCATTGTTTAAAAGTGGAATGGCCAATCATATAGCGGGGCGTTGAGAGGTTCTGCCCCGTCGAGGCATGTGAAATGGAATGGGGCTAAGTATAGAAAAAGAGATGTATTGTTGTTCGTACTAGATTGATCAAATTTGGGGGAATAATCAAATATACAACCTCCAATACACTGTATGGTCCCAAAAAGAGTAGCCCTCGACTTGAACGCAACAAAGAAAAGAAAAGTCCAGGCCAGAGGGGAAAAGGGCAAAATAGGGAAAATGGGGGGCGAAGTGGGAATCGACCAATCAGCAACCAGAGCCAAGAATCAAGTCCGGTCCAAAAGAGGCGAATACAACCCAATTACAAGGCAATACATGGTGAATAGTAGTGGTACTTCTATTCGATATTGACTTTGCCTGGTATAGAAGTACCCCGACTTATCTCACTTTACAAACGGTACTAATACCAGCCACACACGTGATCCACGTAACAGACCGCCTGCCCATCGTAACTCGCACTTTGCCTTCTTCGCTCTCCCCCCCCATTCTCCCCCATTCCCTTTCTCTCACATCCCATAAAACGCGTTACTCGATTGGGTCATCTCTTGACTTCCCCTTTCGGTATCCCCCCCCTCAAATCAAACCACCCCCCCATATTAAACGTCTTTTTGTTCTTCTTTATTGCCAATATGTCTGCGGTTCTTGACGAAAAGCTCTCTCCTGGTCATGATGATCTTCCCGGCAACGGCGCCGATGCCCGTGGCACCAAGCGCAACCGCATGAGCGCCGATGATGAAGATGACGATGATGACAAGCCCGGTCGTGAGCGTCGCAAGATTGAGATCAAGTTTATTCAGGATAAGTCGCGTCGGCACATTACTTTCTCCAAGCGCAAGGCCGGTATTATGAAGAAGGTGCGTCGCGTCCCCCGAGGCCTCCGCATCGGTTTCCCCGAGGGCCCTAACAGTTACTCGATTGGGACTTTTTTTACTAACCATCACACTTCTGAAGGCCTATGAACTTTCTGTCCTGACTGGCACTCAAGTTCTGCTCCTGGTCGTCTCGGAAACCGGCCTGGTCTACACCTTCACTACTCCCAAACTGCAGCCTCTGGTCACCAAGGCCGAAGGCAAGAACCTCATTCAGGTAAGTCATGTTCTGCTCCGATAAGATCCTTTCATCCAGTCATTAACGTGCTGGATAGGCATGCCTGAACGCCCCCGACCCAGCTGCCAGTGAGAATGGTGTCGACGCCCCCGATGTCGCCCCCGAGGCCCCCGAGGATGTGGCTCACAACAACGTCAACGCACCCCAGGGGAATATGCGCCCCGGTATCCACCCTGGCTACATGACCAACGAGCAGCAGCAGCAGATGGCCTACTACCAGAACCTCCAGCAGCAGCAACAGCAGGCTGGTGGTCAGTACCCCATGCCGGTCGGCGGTCGCATGCCACCCCAGCACCAACCCACTGCTTAAATGCTTCCAACTTATGATCTGATCCGTGGGGTTCCTCCTTGTCCCAGGTTCCCCGATGCTGCGTCTTCTTCTCTGTTCTTTTCCTCCCTGCGCCTCGATCTCGCGTTCATTTGATACCCGTTTCCCTCTGTGCCGATCCATCCCACTCTTCCCTCGGAAATGGTCGCACTGTATCTGCGCCATTCTCCAGGGCATTCTCGTGAGACTCTTTGTAAATTGTCAAGCACCGCGCTGGAAAATCTTTCCAGACTCTCTTTGATGATACTGGATCTGGTTTTTTCCTTTTGATATTGCCTTCTCGGGAAAAGAAAAGGAGAACTCCCCCAATTTACTGAGAACTCAGGCTTTTCGATAACACAAAAAATCCCCCCCAAAAATGTTCATCAAACCAAAAAAAATGAAACCAAGAAAAGAGAAAGAGAGTGCAAGCAGGCAAACCTGGGCTTCATCGCTAATTTGACTTTTGTTTTCCCCCCTCTACCTAGACAATGGCGGAGGATGGAGGTGTTCGTGGTGCATTGAAACTCGTCGGCGAAGTGGCTTTTCTCTCTAGTCTTTGTTTTTTGCTTTAGTCTTTAACTTATTTCCTTGGCCTCTGATTATGTTACTTTTTCCTCATTGTCTAATCTCAAGTGTTAATTGTTTGATTCCCTGCCGTGGTCTGTCTTGGTTACAGATTCCCAATGCCATTCGGTTCTGTTTTTTTGCACCGTTTTGGCTATGGCTGGGTTACATTATGTATGGTATGGAGCAATCGGATTCTTTTCCTTTGGATCTTTTGTTCGTAGTCATACTCGTCGATGGGTATACTGGGGATTCTGCTTTGTCTCCACCCTGTAGTACGTGAAGTCCCACTCCGTACAATCTACCGGCAAATCCCGTACTGAGATCGTATGTTCCTGTCTCCTGGGTGGTTCTTGGGATATATGGGTTCAGATGTAGCGTGGATACTCGAGTATAACTTTTGTATAAAAAGTTCAGCTCGGTTGATGTTAGGGTTACTGTATATAAGATTTGTTGAAAATATATTCATTTCCATATTTATGACATTCAATTGATTCTGATATTCTGCATGGTTACTGGTGCTTTGTTCTAAACCTGCCCAATTCACATCCAAACCGAATGTATACTTGGCATGCATGGAGGGAAAGGAAGAAAGTTCGCTGACCTGCATATCAAGAGGTCAATGCCACAGACAACGGACTTTTAGCGGGAATCGGGATTGGGTTATTTGAGATCTCTTCTGTATCCTCATAACGGGATATACCTCAGATACTCGGGCAATTGATATTCCTATGGTGTGTAGTTAGTCGTGATTATAGAGATCGTGGACACATTGTATCAGGGTTTTATATTCATCGCGGAGCTATATAATCGAAACGGGGTGGTATCATATCACGTATCATAGTATCTTGATGGAACACAAGAGATCAAGGTAGGTCTTTTCTTGACCGGGAGCTAGGGGCGATGGAGCAAAAGTGGATGGTGTGGTATGTCCGAGGAAGAGGACTACTGTACATGAGCATTGAAAGGCGAGAAGCAAAGAAAAGTCTGGGGTAGTATCCTGAAGGTAGGGGTTTGACAGGGCGGAGCAAAGACGGATGTTACGTGGAGGTCGTGGGGGAACGATATAATAAAAAGGTGTCATGAGGATGGTGGTGGCTGAAGAGAGTCAGATTCCTGAACTGGAGTTCTCTGCGTATGACGTGCCTGTGGAAGAGGGACAGCAGAGTGCGGGAGTAGGGATGAGGAAGAGTCATCTTCTGGGTCTATCTCGGTCTGACTGCCCGCCTGCGGGCTGCTCCATCGAGACAGATATTGTCTCCCGAACTTCCAGGCACCTGCTATAGCCCTCTTTGGCCCAACGAAGAGGCCAGGTCTGGCGTCAGATGAACGGAGAGGGGCATCGTTATGCCAGTGGGTATCATCGCTATTCTCTTGGATGGTCCCGTACCCACCGACCTCTTGGTCAGGCGTAAATAGACCTCCGGTTCCCCGACGTTTACGATGGGCGGCCAATAAGCCACTCTGAGGTGCTGAGGTGCGCCGCCATTGGTTCCGACGAAGGAATCCCTGGGATCTGCGAGATCCGCTTTCGTGATCGTGTGGGGTAGCGCCAACCGTCGAATTTCGTGTCAGACCTCGGAATGGGCCTTTTAGGGTTGTGCTGCCACTGATGCTGCGTCGGTGATCTGTTGAGGATCGAGTGTGTCTATCAGTATATTCATAGTCCGAATCATCGAGTTCAGCCCAAATAGATGCGGCGTTTAGATCGACCGAGTCGCGATCAAAATTTAGATTGAGCGGTAGGCTTGGAGCTCGTCCACGCTGGTATGAAAGATGTCGAGTATGGGTCTTCGGGTTGAGAAGTGGCTCGCGTTCTCCAATCTGTGATTCCTCATCCTGGCCGTCCAGCAACCCAGGTGATGTTGGAGAGTGTTCTTCCACGAGTGCCATGCCTGGCCCAAGTCCTGTCTGCGTGGGACCCACGGTGGTGACAGCAGCATGGCTATCGATATCCTCAAGTCGCCATGAAAGGCACAAGACACCACCCAGAAGAATCATTGTTCCTAGGGCAATGAGACCGGCATGCAAGCCCGCCAGTTGAGAAACTTGTCGGAAGTAGATCAGGCCATCCATGATGGCGATGATGTTGTAGATGCAGAACACAAAAGGGTATAGTACACTAGTACTACACAATTTGAGCCCACGATGGAGAAAGAACAGCTGTGTGAGCGCTAGGAAGATCATCCCTAGCAGTATAACCCATGATTGCCAACGATTGAACTGGTTCACACCGTCTACAATAGTGCGCACGAGAAGCTCCACTGCTGACTTTGCCAGCAAAAGGGAGTGCGCTGAAAGTATACCACTGACAAATCCATAACTCATGCCGCGGATCAACCTCATTCGGCTTTGTAGTCGCAGCAGGTGCGGCGAAAAATGAGCGGAGGCTGAGGATTTCCCGCGTGATGATGACACGAAGGGTTTCAGTAGTTTCACGCCTACAAGTACCACAACAACCAACAGGGTAGTGGCACCCATCCATAGAAGAAACGGCCGTCGCTGGAGGAGGTACAAGAGCTGATCTAACGTATGAGCGGGTTCCCCGATGGCTCCAAAGGTGCCAATCAGCAATGCGCCGATGCAGACGAGCACGGTGCCTGCGAGAGAATATCGGGTAAATGGTTCGCCGAGAATGAGGGTTGCAAATATAGTATTGAACACTAGTCCGGACTATTCGGCATTCCTATCAGCAGTTGATCTCCACCTTGCATGGAGGGGGAAACTACTGACCGCTTGGAGTGTCGAGAGAACTGGTAGTGGAAGTGTAGTAATTTGGATAGTACTTCCAACAATATTGGAAATCACAAACATCCCCATCCCTACTTGCCATCGACGGCGCTTGTAGGGGGGTCTGCGCACATCGTAGGGGTGCTTCTCCTCCTCGAGTAAATGCGACTTGCGCTGGAGTGTGAGGCCGATAGCTTGGAGACTGGTTGAGATCAGTCCGACGATTACACCAACCTGATAACTGCGTTAGTTCTCGATCTTGTCTCGCAGTATATCCTGATTTCCGTTGGCCTTACCGCAACACTTCCCTCCGGCGACAAGTCACCTAGATTGCCCATATTGTGTATTGTGCATTGGTCGGGTCGAGGGACAGTTGGGAGAGGCGCATCAAGTAGAAGAAACTACCGGAGTAAGCAAGCCATAACTCAGATAAAACTATAGGGAATGACACGATCACGTTGGAAGGGTAAGTTGTCGAGGGGGATGCGGAGGACCTGGATGCGGAATGCCAAGGCAAGGCAATCCGAGCTTAGTTGGACACAACATCCTTTCCCTCTTCCCCACGTCATTCCACCCCCCAACAAGCTATACAGCAGTGAATCGTCAAAATGTCACAAAGCCATGCTCTTTCGGATGATCAGGTATGTTCGCCGTTTACTCTAGATCTCGTGAAGCTTGAGTTGGACTGATCGCCATTGAATACAGGTCGCGGGCGAGCTCCGCAAGATGACCGCCTTCATCAAGCAAGAAGCCCTCGAGAAGGCCCGAGAGATCCAGTTGAAGGCCGACGAAGAATTTGCGATCGAGAAGTCCAAGTTGGTCCGCCAGGAAACTGCCGCCATCGATACCCTCTACGAGAAGAAGTTCAAGCAGGCCGCCATGTCACAGCAGATCACCCGCTCCACACTCGCCAACAAGACCCGACTTCGCGTGCTCGGTGGCCGTCAGGAGCTCCTTGATGAGCTGTTCCAGAATGCTCGCGAGAAGGTCTCCAAGGTGGCTGATGGCGATCAGAAGAAGTACCAGGCTATGCTCAAGGGGCTGGTCCTCGAGGGCCTGTATTATTTGAATGAGGATACAGTTGCGATTCGCTCGCGGAAGAAGGACTTCGAAGTTACCAAGAAGGCCATTGAGGAGGCTACCAAGGAGTACAAGGACAATGTTGGCTCGGAGGTGACTGTGACCTTGGACGAGTCGGAGCCGTTGGCAGAGGGATCGTGAGTTTATTCGCTCCCCCTCCCATTATATGCCAAAGAGACTAACTAGGTTGCAGTGCTGGCGGTGTGTTTATTGTCGGCGGACAAGGCAAAATTGAGATCAACAACACTTTCGAGGAGCGTCTGCGACTGCTGGAAATTGATGCTCTCCCTGCAGTCCGAGAGACACTCTTCGGCAAGAACCCGAACCGGAGATTTTACGACTAAGTGTGTATTACTTGTTCTACCTTGGGTTTCACGTTTGCGACTGCTGTATTTCGTGTGTTATAGTTCGGATAATCTTTGCCTCTCTTGGCCATCTTCATAGACAGAGGGGATTTCTTTGCACAGTTCAAGTCTGATATGGAATATGATCGAACTCTTTTAGCGATGGGTTTCATTCCATATTCTTGACTACATTGGTATTTTGTAATAAAATGCTTGAGCGAAGAATGTCGCTCTCGAGGACATGATCATAAGGGTCATAAGTCATAAGGCAGTCGAAGGAAAGGCTGGCCATTTCAACATTTCAGGCGATTCGCACTGTTTCGGAGTAAAAGGAGATGCTGACACTCAACCAGCCAATATGATCAGGATACCTGGTCATGCGCGCGGATAGGAATCTCTGTGTCACCATTAATCGCATCGTCTGGTTCCGCAGACGGATGCCTTTCTTGCCTGGTCTCTGGATTTTGTTTTCCAGCAGCTAGCGCAGCGAAGTTGCTGAAATGGCTTCGGATGTTACCATCTCTCTCCTGTACATGTGATTTGAAGATGGTGGTTTTCGGCGGTGGTTTGGACCGAACAGAATAGACGATTCGATAATGTAAGGCCTCGAGTTCACTTTTTGCTACCGTCCGGGTCACATGTGAGGCACCAGAATCCTGGATCGAGCAAAATATCATCTTGATCTGAGCTGCCAGCCTATCAATGGCAGCATTGTAGTCTTTCTCGGTTTGTGTACTGTAGTTTAACTCCAACGCAGATGAATCAATCGCGACATTGAGAAGGGCAGTCAGGGAAGTTAGTTCCCTCCAGTCGTAGTCAGCTATACCCTTGAATCGCTTGACTTGGAAACGCTCATCACGGAGCAGTAACAATGTGATACGTTTGATATCAAGCAACTTTTCCGGGGGCTCGGTAAGAGGATCCGGACTCCGTAGCAGAAACGCGACGGCCAGCCGACATCGTATCAGTGCAAACCATGGAGACGTGGGTAAGATATGATGCACAATTTGACTCTGAATGCAAACATCTTGTATAGTGGCGTAGAATGTGGCGCAGACTCGACGCAACTGATTTCCTTAGTTTTGAGCATGGTCCAAAATATAAGAGAATACTCACCGAATCTTTGGCACTGGTTTCATGGAAATTCTCTGGATCCAACACAGCGTTGATGGTCCACTGAAGCTCCGAAGATACCATGGAATCCGCCGTTAATGAAACATCCAGGGTAAGACGTAGCAGTAGGAGCACCACCTGCTCTTGGGTGTCTTCTGCGAATCTATGATTTTGTCAGTCCGGCACTGTCAGGGTTTGGGGGGGGTAGAAACTCACAAGCCAGCAGTTTCTCTAAGTAATCTCAGGACTGAAACAAATGTAGTATGGTCTTTCAATGCAGAATCCGGAGTTATATCTGACGGCATTCATTAGCAAGATCGAGACAATAAGCAAGACAGTCAAGTCATACATTGGGAAAGAACTGGGATAATCTCCTTGGAGGGATCCAAAGCCTGGCTCCGAGCACCCAATCGCGCAAAAAGGTCATTGATATCAGCTGGACGGATGATTGACTTTAATCGCTCCACATCCATATTCTTATATATTCAGTTAGTCAATAGTAGTGGTGGTTCAATATAAGAGCAATTACAAACCTTGATAATTCGGTAGTAAGCGTTGCTCAGTTCCTCTCGGCGTTCATATGGTACTTGAAAAACTATTAGCTTGGAGCCAATGAACAAAGAATAGTATAGGACGGACTGGAACGAAACATCCACAAAACGAAGGCGTCCGGCAAAAGCCCTTTAGACAAACCCATCTGAATAAATTCGCCTGACATGAACTGGCGCTCGCGAGACTCGGATTCTGCAAATCGTTCAGCATGTAGGAAGGGAACAATGACTTGGTTAGAGCTCACCCCTTAATATATCCATACTTGTCCCAGGTGCGAACATATCCCGTGGAAACTGAGGGGCCTGCGGCAATGTTTGTGTGCAATCAAAGAATGGCCAAGCGCGACCGTGGTCAAGGGCATCAGTTCTTCTAATAGCACCTATCAAACGTTGGCCTCCAACGCCGTCTTCATTTTCGCCAAGTGCGGAGATCAACATGGTCTCATTCAGAGCATATCCAGTGCTAGACGGGTCATTCCCGGACTCCTTGCCGTTCAGTTCTTTCTGCGCATAATTGGCTCTCGCCCGAGCGACACTAGCCTCGACCTCATTATCATCCACTGCATCGTGGACGAGAGAGTCAATGTTGTGTCTGTATTTCTTCGGCGATGATATCTTCGTGGGGAATTTGGGAGGCGTGAACTCGTCCTTCCTAGACTTTGGAGCGAAAAGGTTCTTTGGGTCCTCCAACGAGCATATTGAGTCTGTGTCTTCTCCATCAGAGCTGATGACAACCTCTTTGCCGTCCTTGATGATGCGCTGGCTTCCATTGAGACTCTCACTCAGAGATGAGACCCCGGTGACCGAGTCAATGCTTTGGAAACTTTCATGCCATGTAGGGGGTTGAAGTAGGGTATCTTGAGTTGACAGATATAGCGCCGCGTTTAGATGGGCTTCGGCGTCTTGTTCAGAGTCTGGTGTTATCTGGTCGAATACAAAGGAAGAGGGGGGTTCGGTGAGGGGTGAGGATTCAGTCGCGAGTTCCGGGCTTTCTTTCTTCTCGGGTGTACTGTTTGAGCTAACACGAGTAAATGCAGGCTTGTTAAACCACAACTCCTTTATGGTCCGCATGATGAGGAATGTTGAGGATTTATCTTTTTAAAAAACGAGGCATATCGCGTCGTTGAACGCGCCGAATCGGCGCGATGTCACATGAGCGCTGACTCATCAAATCTCTTTGTTCCACCTGAAACTGGATCTAATAAGCTTGAAATGACAATCCACTCGCTTTCTTTGAGACGGAACTCAGATTGAGGCCAAGTTGAGATTGAATTGGCATGTATACAATATTAGTTAAGAGCAACTGTCTTATATTATCCAAAGCATACTTGGCTGCGGAGTATGTATGTAATCATCTCTTACATAGTATATTGTAGATCTGACAGCCACATTCTTAGTGGCGTTGATCTGCGGCTGATCCAGTCTACTATTTAATTATTCCTATGTTCCACCCTAACACTCGCGGTACAAATCTCATTTGATCAACATCGAATTTGCGATAGAAGATCTTTTCTAGAATTTTTTTGCTGCTCAAGTAGAGTGTACAGCAACGAGGAATATTAAAAATTCAATTAAGTTTAGTTAAGGTGATGATACGCTACACGTCGGGTCCACTCTAATAGTTCGTGGTTAACCGTGCTGACAGTCATACACAATTTTGTATCTTGTATATTGCCTGCACTATTCGAATGTTGCACTGTATACGGAGTACAGAGTACAGCGTTTGCTTTCAAACCCTTGCCTCGAGATCTGCACTCTACGTGGAGTAACACACCTGTGAGACATGGGGATTTCGTAGGGCTAGCTCAGAGTCGAAAGGGGGAATGCAAGTCCCGGGCAACGTGTGAATTGTAGGTGATCATCGGCCCTATTCAGGAGCATTCAGGAGTCTCCTGAATAATCGCCGAATTGCCAAGAAACAAGGAGTCGGGATGAAAATTTGTAACATAAAAAATAATACACGCATAAAAACGGATCCAAAGTCTTTTTAATCCACATTGGAAGTTTGGCAGATGCTACCCATAGCATACCATACCCATTGTGTGTACCCGTGGACGGAAGTACATACAATATACGGAGTACATGAGCCAGGAAATAAGAAAGACTCAGGGTGGGCCGGATGAAGCTCGTGCCGTGTCGGTTGTTTCAGGATTGATGCTCCGACCCCGAAAGCTGGGTCTGATATCATGAAGGGAGGCGATAGAAAAACATTTGTTTGACTCTAATACCTATTTATGACCGCATATATTGATCATATCCATGGATGAATGCTGAAATCACATAGGAATTTCCTGTTTAGTAAGAACATTGATGTGTTTATCTATGCAATCTATACAACATAGACTGGGCTGCATAGGAAAAGGCCAGCTGTTAAATTAGTCCATAGTGGGGGCCGAAGAAACAACAGCTGTGGGCCAATAACCGTCACTCCAGGGTCTTTTCATACGGATCAACGGGTACAGACTTGACTTAGTGAAGAACTGGGGAGTACCTAATGTACATAATCCCCCCCGTTAAGGCTAATTGTAAGCGATCATAATGCTTACGGAGTGGCAGTGCCACCGTATCCACTAGTGAAAGGAAATAGAACAGAGCCCATTTTTCTAGAAACCAATCTTCAAGTCAAGAGAACGATAGTACCATATATCAATATCTGAATGTCCCAGACTTCAAGTGCCGAGTACTCCGATTGCCACAGTTAGAAATTTAGAAGGGGGAGGTCGGAACGGGGCTGGACATTATATTACCGGACTTTACGCGTATTGTCCCCTTGAGTCCGAGATTGTATACATGAGCTACCTATGCCCATCAGCCCTAGGTGACATTGAGCCTGCAGGTAAAACATGGGTAAATATGCCTAAATATGCCTTAACAATAGCTAGGACAAAAGAAAGAGGCAGTGTAAAACACAATCTAAGCATCTTATACCAAATTTTACCAAACTAATAAGTTGACGCGTGTAAAAATCTCCTGCCAAGTCCACTTTGAATGACAAAGCAGAGGTATCTTGGCCGGGCCCCATCGGTAAGCACGGCTGGTAACAAGATTACATACTCTCCCGTACTGAGATACGAGCTCAGGGTGGCCTACATCTCTCTCTCTCTCTCTCTCTCTCTCTCTCTTTCACTCCCCTCGAAGCAAAAACTAACCACACGGGTGCTTCATTTCTTTAATTTTATCTCACTTAAGTATTTGAATGGCCCCCTGTGGGTGCGCCCTATAACGCCTTGGCTTTCGCATTGCAATAATATCTCATCACGATCGGCCGCGGAAACCTTGTTTTGAATTGGTTTTGGACGATTTCTCGAAGCTCGTCGATAACAACATATTCAACACGCGCCTATAGAATTCTTTTATTTGCTTGAGACCTACATCGCCCATGACATTGCGTTTTCTTCGCCTTCGAACCCTGTGAACACACCCAGACCGGCGATCCTTCCCTGCGCCCGGCGCTGTCGGATTCCGGCCTTGCACACCGGATGCTTGCCAGCTACCAATAATCAAGGTTTCTGTCAAATTTTATGTCCTTGTGAGGCGCACCAACAGCTCAGATGGATTCCGTGCACTTCCCTGGAGACAATGGGGGTGACAACAACGAGCAAAGTAGCGATATCCGTGAGGTTAGCAGCAACGTCTCTAAGCCCACGAAACGACAAAGATGGGCTACTACACGAGCCCCCGGAGCTGGAGGCATCAAGAAACGTGTTTCCATTATTGATCGCTTCCATAAACGGTCAGATATGAGAGACGAAAAGCGAAAATCGAATAATACAAGCGCCTCGGCCAATAGCGGACCCGAGACCCCGCAAGAAGGACCGAATCGGAGAATCTACTTCAGCATTCCCATCCCAGAATCTGAACGAGACGAGGACGGTCATTTGCGAATCACGTATCCCAGAAACAAAATTCGCACTGCCAAGTATACACCGCTCACCTTTGTGCCTTACAACATCTGGCTCCAGTTTCACAACATTGCGAACATCTACTTCTTGTTCGTCATTATTCTCAACGTATGCAGATTTATTTCTTTGACTCCACCCCCAATCAACTTTGGCTGATAACATTCTAGTGCTTTCCCATTTTCGGTGCCAACAACCCCGGTCTAAACGCCGTTCCTCTCATCGTTATTATCGTCGTGACCGCTATCAAAGACGCCATTGAGGATTGGGGACGTACAGTCTCTGACAATCAAGTCAACAATTCTCCGGTTTACAGACTGATCGAATGGAACAATGTCAATTCAACCGAAGAGAATATTGATTTATGGCGTCGTGTGAAGAAAGCTTGCACCCGGGGCTCGATTGCCTCGTATAAGTGGATTGCTTCTCAGTTTCAGAAGAAAAAGGAAGGTGGAGATGACGACGAAGACCAAAGACGCAGCTCGTTCATGAGTACAGCAGATCCCCGGGCATCGATTTATACCCAACGCAACTCCATAGCCGCAGAAGATGTCGCTATCCCCATGACTGATGTCCCATCGCCCCAGCCCGAGGCCCGCGAAGATTGGCCAATGATGAGCACTCGTGAAAACAAGTTTTTGTCTCCGAACAGTGCGGCTCGGCAGAGCGTCGTGGAGCCTATGCCGGAAAAGATACATGGAACCGTTTTAGACATGTCCAAGCAGACACCCGGCAAGGCTAGGTTCAAGCGAGAGCAATGGAAAAGTCTGCAAGTTGGCGACTTCGTCCGCTTGTACAACGAAGATCCGATTCCAGCCGATGTCGTGATTCTGTCCACTTCTGACCCGGATGGCGCCTGTTATGTCGAAACCAAAGGCTTGGATGGAGAGACCAACTTGAAAGTTCGCCAAGCTCTGCACTGTGGACGTGACATTCGACATGCCAGAGATTGCGAAAAGGCCGAATTTGTGATCGAAAGTGAGGCTCCGCATGCCAATCTCTACTCTTACAATGGTGCCGTGCGCTGGGACCAGCGCGACCCGCGCTTTCCTGAAGCTCCGCGGAAGGAGATGGTTGAGCCAATCTCTATCAACAACATCTTGCTCCGTGGTTGCAATTTGAAGAGTACCGAATGGGTCCTTGGTGTTGTCCTTTTCACCGGCGGAGAGAGCAAGATCATGCTCAATTCTGGTGCGACTCCTGCCAAGCGACCTCGTATGGCCAAGGATCTCAACTGGAACGTCATTTACAACTTTATAATCCTATTCCTCATGTGCCTTGTCGCTGGTATTGTGAACGGAGTCGCATGGGCCGCGCCAAATAAATCTCTGGATTACTTCGATTTTGGGTCCTATGGAGGTACACCGCCTGTCACTGGTATTGTCACCTTCTGGACTGCTCTCATTCTGTTTCAGAATTTGGTTCCAATTTCGCTTTACATTTCTCTTGAGATCGTCCGGACCATCCAAGCGGTTTTCATCCACAGCGATCTCTACATGTACTACGAGAAATTGGGCCTATATTGTGTGCCCAAGTCTTGGAATATCTCGGATGACGTCGGTCAAGTCGAGTATATCTTTTCTGACAAAACTGGCACCTTGACCCAAAACGTTATGGAGTTCAAGAAATGTACGGTGAACGGTCAGGCATATGGAGAGGCTTACACAGAAGCACAGATTGGCATGCGGCGTCGCGAGGGAGCCGACGCCGATGCGGAGGCTGCAGTGGCTCGGCAACAAATTGCTGCTGACGCTCAGCAAATGCTTCGTCTCTTGCGTGACATTCATGACAACCCTTACTTGCACGACGACCAGCTGACGTTTGTTGCCCCGAACTTTGTGGCCGATATGGCAGGAAAATCCGGAGAGCGACAGAAGCACTGTACAGAAGACTTCATGCTGGCTCTTGCCCTGTGTCACACTGTCATTACCGAGCACACTCCTGGCGACCCCCCTCAAATCGAGTTCAAAGCCCAGTCTCCCGACGAGGCAGCGTTGGTCAGCACTGCTCGAGACTGTGGATTCACTGTTCTAGGCCGAGCGGGTGACGACCTTCTCGTGAATGTCATGGGCGAGGAACGCACATACAGAGTTTTGAATACCCTTGAATTCAACTCATCAAGAAAACGAATGAGTGCAATCATCCGAATGCCCGATGGTAGTATCCGCCTAT